AAAAACAGCCACCCCCTGTACCCACTGTAGCCGTTTGGCACAAGCAAGTGAATTTGCCCTAGAAATGTGACCTGTCTTTTACTAAGATAAAAGAACTTTTAAGTCTGAGAACTCTTTCTGCCTTGCTTGTTGTGTGCTGTATTAGCAGATTCTGGAGTAGGATTAAGTCAGCAGCTTGCCGATTAGATCCTGATTTAGTTGCTTGCTTCACTTTGAGGAGCCTACATTTTTGCTGTAGGTTGAAGAGACCTGGCAAAAAGTGGTGTGTAGATCTTGACCTGCAAATTTCTTAGAGAGGTAGCTGTAACAGCTGATCAAGAATCAGTGTTTTAAATTATCCACTGCATAATAAACATTGTCGTAAACACATACTTGAAGCCACCTAAGGGCTGATGTGAATGGATTCAGCGTTCTCTTACTCAAGTAACAACTACTATCTCAATACCTCTAGTCATTTCTACTTAAATACACTGAAGAAACCTTTAGGTAAAATCTTGACAATACTGAAATTTCTTAAACCTCAGCCTTTTGTCAAAATATAAAGATGTGTACATACTTCATCTGCAAAACCTTGCATTTTAGCAGTGGTTAAGTCAAAATACAAAAAGGAATTAGTGTCTTCTACCTGCAAAGGTCTATCTGTGACAGATGAAAGTGATAGCATGGGGAGAAAAAAAAAAAAGCAACGTTCATTGCTTACAAGAAAATACTCTGAAAGAATTACAGCATTCCCAGGAAAATTTCTGCTTACCAGATCCACGGCTGCTCACTTGAGTTAATTTTTCATCATATTCATCATCGCTATCACAGTTCAAAGGCTGAAAAGCTATTTCTGATTCCATGTCTACTGGATTGGCATCTGTCTCTTGCTCAGCAAAACTCCGCAATGCCACAAGGCGGTGATGTATTGCTGCATACAGGTATCCAGTGTCTTTTGAGCTCGCCTGCAGAACACGAAATGCATACAGTCCAAAGTAACCTAGAAAAACCTATTTTTCACACAGTTGCTGAGAAATTTTCACAAGTAACGGAAGAGCTGTATTTTCTCCTTTTTAATCAAAATCCATTTAAGATTCATACCTAATTTCAGAAAATAAATTTAAATACAAATAATACCAAGTTTCTTTAAGTGGTCTGGGTTATAATATGTAGCTGTTGGTTATTTTCTCTATAGTTACAAGAAACATGAGCTTAAAAATTATTATTTCCCCTGAAGAATGGCTCAGTTTATACAGAGTACTTGATATGCCCAACAATTCCAGAATATGATTCTGGAAGTAATAAAGCACTGAAATGTTAATATATGTATTGCATTTTGGTTTACAGAATAAACAGGATTTTTAAATCCTAACTACAAGAAGTTATTTGTGATTATGAAATTTAAAGATACCATGAATTCTGCTGCCATTGTTGAAGAGAAGATGACCACCGCCAGGAAGGGTATTGAGAACTAGACAAGGCAGCATCTTCCCAGTTCATAAAACCTTTGGGCAGCCATGTCCTATGTACTGTGTTCTGTGTGGTGGTCACATCTCAAGGATATAGCAGAATTAAAGAAAGCAAAAGCAAAGGGCACCAAAAATGATCAATGGTGTGGTATAGCTCCTTATGAAGAGCTGAAGATCTTCAGCCTGAAGAGGAGAATGAGAAGGAGTATAACTAAGGTTTTCAGAATTATAAAAGTGATGGATAAACTGATTATGATACGGCTGTTCATCAGACCACAGGATAAACGCACCAGGGTACGCTTAATGAAAGCAGTAGAAGATCATCGCAAATCAAAGTGCCTCTTCACAGGGTAAAAACTTCTAGAATTCGCTGCCTCAGGAGAGAGTGGGGACAGACGGTATAAACTACAAACAGCGGGCCAAAAACACAGTAATAAACGTTTTTAAAAAAGGAATTAGAAAAATTCAGGGACAATCATTTCGTAAAACAGAGAGCGAAGGAAGCAAACAGGGGTGTATGCTTTCATGTGGCTAATACGACACTACGGACACCGGGGGTCGGTGACTGAACAGGCCACACAAAGCGGCCATGCTTGCTTGTGCTTCCTAAAAGTACTGTATTTGGGCACTGTCAGAGGTGCCAGGGCAGTACTTCTTCTGTTCACATGAAGCAAATCATGTACCAGAGGGTCAATGAATGCATGTAGCCTTCTGTAGCCCAATTCCCCACTTCTGTTCATCATGTGGAGTGATTTCTATCTGTATCACTTGGCAATAGGGAGACATATGTCTTGTTTCGATTGGAATGCCATGTTTCAGTGTGTACAAGTGGAAAAGCTATATGAATTGGGAAGCAGCAGCAGATCAGGGTTGCCTTCTTCACTACCCATACATGCAGCAGCAAACCATTCTTTCCCTGCAGCCACACAGAGAAGAAAGCAATTCAGAGTTGTTCAGGTGTCTCAACTACAAATGCAACTCTCAGTGGACAGATCTGCATTCCCAAGAAAACACTGCTATTCAGGAAACATATGGTCATAAATAAGAAAAAGGCAGCTATTCATTCTGATTATTTCTATCTGTAGCTTTCTGCTTCTCCATTCAAAAGCCGGAGTTCCTCTGTTACTTGAATCTAATATGAATTCCAGCTTCTGCCAAGAGGGGTGGATTCACCTCCATGCATCCTCTGACTCTTCATTTCTACCCTCTCCAGTGTTCCAGTATGGTGACCACAGGTGAATAAAATCAAGCTAAAAACCTGACGTAGCAAAACCCAAAAGTTCTCTGATCTGTGTCACTCATAACTCTACAAATTCCAGTGCCACCAAAAGTGAAGAGGGAGAAACAAGCATGAGGGGAGGGGGCAGGGTCAGCCCTCTGAGCAAACTTGGATGAGTACTACACAACCGACCTAGTGGAGTCTTGTGGACTGCCTCCTGTGTAGCGAGCATCCTATGACTCTTCTCCTTCACTCATGAGAAGCCCTTCGGATAATAACCCTGAACCAAATGTATCAATCATTCATGTGACATGGGAAAAACAAATTTAATTGGCAGTTAAAAATACATGCTGGTGCCTTGGAGGAGTGGGCTCAACTGACTACTAGACCAGCCTGATTTACGTGCCAAAGCTTTGGTGATGCCTTCTGCGTATCTCACACATTGACCGATTTTCCTCCCACACTCAAAGAGTCTCAATGGAAGTTTGGCTGGATACCAGCTATGGGGATGGATACCAGCTATAGGGATGGATACTAGCTATAGGGATGGATACCAGCCCCTTCAGAGACAACTGTAGAAGCAGCATCCTGCAACTCCTGCCACACACACTGTTGTCATGTATCTTGGTTTCCTAATACATATTTTTTTTACTGTCCAGAAGTGCCAGGACAGAATTTAAGGAATGTTTACATTTATATATACTAGAAAAACTGCAGCACATCTGGAAATCTAGGACATTTCTAATTCTCACATGCAGACCAGCTGTGCAGCACAGCTATAGTTAATTCAATCAGTGCTTGAAGTGACAGAGTTACCGTGGTTGCATATAGAGTGCATGGTGCTTTGCCTGTGTATGACATGTGACACTTCCAGGAAGTGATTATTTATTTTTCTTGCCCAGGAGGCTGAACCGTTCACTGAACGCTCTACTGAGGAAACCAGAGACATCCTTAAACTCACATGGATGCTCTCACTTCCAACCTAGGGCATATGTTCTATTTATTTGCAAATAAGTCCACCATATTTCCATCCTCAACTTATCAGCCCTTGCTAGAGAAACCAGGATTCCCAAGACTATTGTCTTCCGTAAGGTGACATTGCAAAATCTGTGTTCTCCTCAGCTGAGACAAGGAGGTTCTACACTGGATGGACTACTGCAAGCGCTGTGTGGAGAACCGTGGCAGAAAGCTGCTGCCTTGTAACAAGTAACTTACGAACATCTAACTACCTGTGTAAGAATCCTTACAGTGTTGCTTCTGTAAGGAGAATTTCCGGCCTATGACTCTGAAATGATATCCATTGCATCAGCAGTATGTGAAACAGGGTCTGGAAAGGTCTGTCCTAAAACCATATCCCATCTTAACACCCTTTTTTTTTTTTATCCCCCAAATACCAAGGCACAACACTTCTAACTCATTTCATAATAAAAGCCCCTTAGCAGCTAAGCTAAGTACAGCCTGACAGAGCATTAAAGACCACTTGCTAAAACCAAAGCCTCAGTCAGTGTTCAGAATCATTGATGAAATGGGGATTTGGGTGGGTTTTCTCTCTTGCTTACCTGAATCAGAAATACTTGAACAGAGTAGTCCTCTTGGTCTGTTGCAGTGAAGCACAGGCTGATCCTGTTTGCTCTTTTTATAACCATCTGATCCCAGAGTCGGGTGTTGAGAATCAGTCTCAAGCTGCCTTGATTTCGCATAACTGAGGTAAGAAGGTTTATATAGTAAGTCACTGGAATCACCTTCATTTTTACTGCAGAAGTTTTCTCTGACACTTGTATATCACTAATATTTTCATTAAATACTCTTTAATTTGGTCTAAAAACTGACAGGGAGATTTACTAAAAATTACTTTACTAATACCAAAATATATTAGTTTCTTTCAATACATCTGGCATACAGAGCAAATGATCTGCTGAAACTGTGCAACACAGTTGTCATAGTTTAATCCCAGGCAGCAACTGAGTACCACATAGCTGCTTACTCACCTCCCCCCCTCTGCAGCTGAGGAGGAGCATCGGAGGAAAAGACAAGGAAACTCATGGGTTAAGATACAAACACACCTCAGCAATAACTAAAACCACTAAACTAAACAACTAAACCAAACAATACTCTTATCAGCACAAATCCAAATCCTCATACAGCTACTGTGAAGAAAGTTAACTCTGTCCCAACTAAAACCAGCACAACAGTACAAAAAAGTGACAGCGCAGTAGAAACAACATTCCAGAAGTGATGGAAACAGTCAGAATGAACAGCCAGACTGATGAATGACCTAAAGATACGCCGCAGTAGAAGTACACAGAACCTAACAGCATATGCTGGTGTGAGTGTACAACCTGAGTGAAAAACGCAGTGCCTCAGTCTGTAATGCAGCCAACTTGATCCAGCAGTGTTAAAAACTCAGCAACCTGACTTAAAACTAGCTACTCAGTTTTAAATGTTCTGAAATAAACTTATTCTGGCCAGCGACAGTACAAGTTATTTAGTGTTCTGTGTATGTGTTACTTCATGATTTAATTCTTACTTAGCCTTGACTGCAACATTCCACATTTATTGGTGGGAGTGTCATTAAGCCTGAGGGATCCTCTGCCTCTTTCAATCCAGGTTAAAGAAAGCTTATTAAATACAAAGAGTTTGCAGTTGATCTGAAAGAGAAATACATGATGGCAATTGTCAGCCAGTGTTAATTTTAATGGTTCTAAAGCTTGTAAGTTTTTATACCTTTTGATATGGCTTTTAATACATCCATATGCATGTATACAAAGATAGATATATAGATATATCACCATTATTACTTATAATGAAATGGCTCCCAGATCTGTGCTAACTTCCTGCTAGTCATCGAAAACATTCAGCATGAATCCTGATTTAATTTTCAATTATTTCACCTTCATTAACTCTTGATCTGTGATACCCACTAACACAGCTGAACTTGCTGCAAGTGTTCTACAATCTGATTCCCTCACTTGCTGGAAACATGCAGCCCAGGGTCCCAGTACCACTGCTGGGACAGTAGTACTCCAAAGACAGTGAAACTTCTATGTTATGACCAGACAGAAGCTTTAATCATTCATGTAACTTTCAATCTTAAGATTTTTTAAATCATACATTATTGCTATTTTCTGAGAAAATAGCAGTTTGAAAATGAAGAATAGCAAGATATGTCCTGCTGATAATTAATATTTTAGATGAACTATAAAACTAATTACTTTGACAACACAATGCTTTTTACAAAAAAAAAGGTTTTTCATTAAAAAAAACTTTAGTCAAATCACTTCTGATTTTGAAGTTTTAGATACTGCTGGTATACTGTGTAGATGCTTATAAAATACTACTGTAGAAGTTCTGAATCAGTCACTTTGTGAAAGGGACTATAAAATGAACAAATATAATATGAAAAAGAAAATATCAACCTATAGAAAAATGGGTTAGCAGAGGCATATGTTTAAGAAGTTGAAGTTCAAAATATGAACTGAAGTTATTTTGAGATTCCTGCGATCTGTCATAGATCCAGATGCTCTTTTCAACAACAAAACTGCTCACCATCAAGGCTTTATGAAATACGCACTTGTAATACATTGTGTTCTGCTTCTTCTCCAGTTATAACTTCAACTTTATCTAACAGAATTCTCTCCACTGGCTTGGAAATACAAGCAGCTGCTGATTCAATTAGTGTTGTATTCCTCAACAGAGCTGTTTCTGTAGCAGGGGAAAAAAACAAACCCAGGAAATCCTTTCTGTACAGGGAATATTTTCAGGACAACAAAACTAGCATATAGCATGGCCTGTGACTTCAGTAATCCCTGTGGTGTCTGATATTATTGAGTGTTATTAATAAGTTTTTGGGCAAAGTAGTAAATAGAAAAGTCTGGAATGCGGCAAAATGTCTCACCTCTTTAGGCTCATTTCGCACCAAACTGGGCTCTCTGCAGTTGCAGAGGTTTACCCCAAGGGACAGCTTGCAGAAACAAACCCTAAATAACTGGAAGTTGATTTTCCAAATTAAGCTGGTCTGTCATAACTGCTGTGCAGATTAATAAATAATGAAAGCCACATGTCCCTATATTCATAATAGTAAACGCATACACAATGAATGTTTGACAGGGACATGAAAGGACAAGTTTTGGAAGGAACAACATTGTTAGAAAATTTTGTATATTTGCATAATCTCCATATGTCTTCCATAGGGTTTAACCATTTGGGTTTTTTTCCAATACGAAGTAAAAGGACATAATACATCCAGTCTTAAAGAGGGGTGCAAAATTTGGCAAGAGGGCTCAAGAGAGGGGCCTACTTGGGACTCCCTCACAGCCTAAGTTTACATGGCTTGCCTAGTAGAAAAGCTCACACCAGACTCACAAATAACCTCTGAAATCCATCTGTATATAAGTTTCAATGTTACAGTTATGATAAAAATATGGCAGAATAATTTATGTGAGCAGTAACAAAACACAAGCAGCCAACAGCTTAAAACTGTAGTTCAAAAATGCCGTCCAAAAGGCATTCACAAAATTCATTGCATCTTTTTTCAAATAATAAATAATAATAATCCATCATACACAATGATCTGTAAAACTCTAACCTTTCCTGAGTAACTCAGACCATTCATTCTGAAGTTAGTCCAGCTCAAATGTCATAACCCAAACTGTACTGCTTTCTGAACACAGATTTTGGCAAATACTGCAAATGTACTAGTGAGTAGACAACTTGAAAATAGATGAAAACTATTGACCAGCACTTATTTGAAATCCTCTACGATGCAGTGAAACATGTCATAATAAACCTAAATGTACCTGTTTGATGAGTAGGTTTACTTGTTTGTGGGCTGACATGAAAAGATTCTATGTACGTGGATGTTGTTTCTTCTTTGTATGAAGCGGCTTCATTGCACGGCTTGGAATGCTTTTCAGGACTCTAGAAATAAATTTTTAAAAAACAGGAAATAAGAATTCCTATTTAAATAAAATGGCTACATTATTCTTATTTAAATAAAATGGCTACATTACTGCATATCAAGCAGAACATTGTATCATTTAATGTATGCCAGGCTGAAGATTAGCAATTGTAATACCTCGAGAGTAAAAACTGGCCCAGATGATACAATTTCAGTCTCTAATTGAAGCAATTTTACTGTCATAAAATCAGTACATCATTCTTTCACCAGGAATGGCACCTTTGTATGGATACTGGACTAAGATTTAAATCCCATGAAAGATTTAGATATTTAAGTACCAGCTAATTTCCAGTTTAAGCACTTAAGACCCAGAAGAATAATTTGAAATTCCCAGACAACACCAGCTTAATATCAGAGGAATTAAAATTTCCACGACCTTCAGTTTTTGCAGATAAAGTTTCTTAGGCATGTCTAAGTGTCCTGGTCCCAGGCAGGGATGAGCTGCTCTCCTAGGGCAGTCTGTAAGATTTTGTTTCATTCCATAATACATCAAGCT